CAAGATAAATAGTTTTCTGAAAGCTTTCCAGTGGCAGTCAAGATTTTGAAGCAATGATTCTTCAATTTATTCTGAATATACATGACAATACTTGTTGAATTCAAAAGACAATTAAGCATATTATTTTTGTTTAAAAATCTAACACTCCTTTGTAGAAAAAAAGACTATAGCAGAGACGATCATAAAAAATGTCTCAAATACCGAGCCACCATATAGAAGAAATTTATTGTTGAAATCTTTTGACCCAGAATTGGTAAGTATCATTAGATTTGACTTATGACTTTTAATTTCATTCATAGAATTAAGTACAGCCCAAATAGGGTAAACCAATTTTTAAACCATTTTCTTTACAGCAGATTCTTTTGTTTCGCAAAATAGCCAAAACAAGTATTTAGAATCGAAATATTCTAAAAATGTATCCTAAGTAATATTTGGTCATTTGAAAGATGTACTTATGCAAAGACACAATTTTAGTTTTTGTACATCAACATGAGAGTGCACTAAAACTTTTTTGTGTGTATGTTTAATTATTCATTTTATACAAACATAACCAATAGATCATTTACCCAATGTATCCAATAACAGTGGGTTGACATTTTACAATGTGTGACACTCTTTAGCTTTGCCCTGCAATTTGACATTGTGAAAATATCTATGTCGGTCATGTAACAAATGTGAACATGTTTCTTTTAGTTCTGTAAAAACTTTCAGCTTTTAAAAATACTGAACAATTGTGATAGTATACAATGCAATATTTCCAATTCTTTTCCAGTTAACAGAAGAGAAATGAATAAACACACAATAGAAACAATGATTACAAAATTAATTGGTGCAATATTATGAACAAATAAAGCATTTTAACATTGACTGAAAAGTAACAACAATGATTTCAATCTATTAGAAAGAAAAAATATTTACTGTACCTCCATACTATTTCTGAGTAATTATGGCTGATTTGAAACTGAAAATTCTCCTACAGAGAAATTCTGAATTTAGGACACAATATAGGTTTAAACTTATTTACTTTCACTTGCATCTTGGCTTCTAGCCAGAAAACATCTGTTGATGAAACTATCACTAATCAGAAACCACACTTGTTCATTGCACAATAAAAAAATAATGACAAAATGTAAGATACAGGGAAAGATATCAACAGGTTAATATTTTAACATCTGATGCCTATTTCAGTAAATTTTATTTTATTAATAACTCTTACTTTTGTTTAAAAAAAAGAATTTTTTTTTTGATGAACCACAAAGCATGTTATCAATGATATGAAAGATCAGGTGGAAATTGTAATGACAATCAAAATAAACGTAAATCTCCAGTCTTTGGCAACAATGTTGATAGAACACTGATGAGCTGTTTTGCCTTGAGGAATATATATATATATATATATATATATATATATATATATATATATATTTGCAAAGCCATAAATAAAACTATTGTTTTTCTCTTTCCTATATAAAGAAAACAAAGATTAATTTATAATAATTTTGAAACATGGGAAGAACAAACAACAGAATTGAGCTGATTTGCCTTTGCAGTGAGTGTAGTGCAAAAAGGTTGGTTGAATTTTTATTTTTTTTTAAACAGTGAGAGTCACCCTTTACAAGGCCCATGGGCCACTTGAGGTAGAGGGTTACATTAGGATTTGTGTGTATAGGTGAGGGAGATAATAATTAACCCTAGCCTGGAATAGGTTGATTGTTGTAACATAGGGTAGGTTACTGAATAATCACATGAAGGCTGGTAATGAACAAGAATACTTAGGACAAGAACAACACATATAAGATTCGCCAGTGGTATGTAGAAGTAGTCAACTGCTAGAAGTGAGTTAAGTGAATTCCACAATGAATCTATAACTGCAGACCAACATACAGTATTTACTACTGTATTTATGTGAATGGGAACATACCCATTATTGCCTGTAGGTATGCTACAACATTGTAGTTGAGGAAATATCTTGTTGGGAGCCAATTCCACAGAGCAGTGATTCCCAGGATGAAGCTGTTTGAGTGGAACTTACTTCTCACCAATGGAATATGGGTGGGGGTTTGCTACTATGTAAGTGGCATGGTGTGTTCTTGGCAGGAAGGTTTGCCTTGGTGGGACCAGGGAATGTAGTTCATCTGAGCACTTTCCATGGCAATAACAGTAGAGCAGCAAGAGGCTTGCCATATCCCACGTGTGGGAGAGGGGTTGAAAGGTGGAGAATAATTTATCACTTGCAAGGGCTTGGAGATGCTTTTGAACTTTATCAAGGCTGGAGAGTGAGGTCTTGGCAGATCCTGCCTAGATATGACCATTAGTATTCCATTTTAGACCTGATCTGGCTCTCGTAAAGGTAGAGGATAGCATGAGGAGTCAGGTACTTACTGGAGCAGTACAAAGAGCTGACCATTTTACCTGCATTCTTACCAACAGATCATATTTACAAGAAAAATATGAATGAGAGCATGAACACATTAAAACTGAAGATGAATTCAAATGAAACCTGATGGAACCTTTTGCAAGATATGGAATGAAACAAAAATGTTAAGTTCCATTTTCTATCACGATGATTTGTTCCAAGGGAAAAATGGGTTATATTTGGAACTGACTGCTGAAATAAAGCCAGCATTACACAATACGGCATGTGGACTTTTCAAAGTAAAATATGAATGTTTATAATTGAAAGTGCTTTTTGCAGAGTGTACTTTCGTCTCCAGCAGTTTGAAATAAATTTATTTTTGCTTCTTTTTTTTTGAGGACTAAAAAGAGATGGTGGAGAGAAGGGATTTGAAGAACAAAAAAAGCAGTGGTTCTGGAAAGAGGCCATCCGTCAACAGGCACCAATCAATAGATATGATCGATACATTGGCAATGAAAAGAAAAAAGTGGGGGTGTAACAGAATAGAAGAAGAACAGGAGGGGACAACATATTTTGTATTAGAGATGAATATGGAGAGAAAAAGTGAATTTCATGCTTGAGAGCCAGCTGTTATGGAAAGTTCTAGCAGCAGTTTTTGGCAAAATCTCCTCTGACTTGGTGTACCCACTGCACAAATAGTTCTACTAATACAGCTACAAAACACTACGACATAAAACAGTAGAGCAACAATTACATCTTATTTAATTATGATTTTCAATTATTTCCAATAATAGTACAAGTGAAATTATCACATGAACGATCTTGAAGAAGGGGAAAAAAAAAAAGACGTCAAATGTTGGCAAGAAAGCTAAATCTATTTATGGTTTGTTTCTTCAATTTCATTTTGGGGAGACAGCAAATAAACAATAGGAAATAGACAAGAAAATTTGGCAATTTCTATTGAAATCAGTTGAAAGGTCATGAAGAGCAAAACAAACATTGGACATCAATTCATATTGAAAATAGCAAATATGATGTCAATTTGTAAAAATCTATCATAAGCACTCCATTTTTGACTTGGGTCATTTTTCGCTTATGGTGATAATTGCATAGCAAACAAAGTTCTCTTTTGATCACATTTTACTCAGTGTTCAAGACTGATGTATTTTTACCCAATACCCACATAGTAATAATCCTAATGGTGCCAGTCAGTCAAGAGAAACATAGTTTAAAAGTTTGCCAGTCATTTTAGTTTTCTGATTGATTAGCCTTCAGGAATCTGCCTGTCCAGAGGAGTAAAAAAAAGATCCAGTAAATAAAAAAAAAAAAATCTATCTCCACTAGAGTCAGTGACATAGAAATATTCAAGTTGGCAGAACAAAGGCAATCACTACAGAAAACAGATTAAGCAAACAGTTTGAAACCTTGTCAAACCTGCATATGTTTACATTGCACTAATGCTCTTTGAAATGGCATGAATCCACCTTTCCCTGTAATTTGTCTTACTGTTAAGATCTTACATTATCTCAATAACTTGTCTGAAAGTTACATGAGTAAAGACTATTCAGATTCAACCTCTTACCTTTAAATCCATTCATATATCCAGTGAAAATGGAGAGACTTACACAGAGAGAATATCGGGTGAAAATGGAGAGACACAACAAAAAATGTTATGGACAATTCCTAGTAAGGTATATACCAAATGCCATGACAATTAAAAACAAAATTATCTGAAAGGAAATTAAAATAAACCTAATAAATAAAGGCACAGTGGATAGTGGCTCAGACTAAGGAATCAGGGAGCAGAGTTTGAATTCTAGTCAGATCTATTACATTCACATTAAGTGCTAATACCCTTGTGAAAGGTATGAATCCTCCTCTTCTTCCCCCCCCCCCCACGGTTATGGGTAAATTGCAGGACAGATTAGGTTCTATCACCTTGGGTGGCAACCAGTCTAAGAGAAGGAAAAACTGAATTCAAAACTGGCCTGGGGAAGGTTGGGCTGCATCAGGCTATCTTGCACACCACTTCTACTGCGGTTGCAGTACACAGGTCGCGGGATAAAAAACTAAATAAATGTGTAACAAGAATTGATGATGAAACCTACTAATATTACATTTTTGAAGAACAGAAATAAGATTTAAGAAAAAAAAGAGAATAGCAAATTACAAACATAGCACTTGTCTTGTTAAAGACACAAATGTCCTTTTATATTTTTATAAACAGACATTGAGATATTTCTGCAGAATGTTGACATGACATGCAGGAAATAATTATATCAAAAATGTTTCACTCGATTATACAATTATTTTAATTTCTATTTGGTAATTAGAATAATTTGTGCAAGGTCATCAATGACCAAACTAAGGTTTGCTAACATGCATGGGCATTTGGAATAGCTCACCCAGGTACTTGACTGGAATTGCTCATCCAGGTACTCGACTCTAGTGGTTTATATAGCACCCAAGATGCCCACCATTTGTCAGATAACAAATTTGCATATGCTGCCAATTTCTTTATTAACATGCTTGAGACATGGCTTGAATTTTTAATTCCAGCAGAGAATACATGCAACAAGTGGGTATTTTGTCAACAAGATGAGTGATTTTCATTGCTACACTCCGCACTGAACTGATCACAGCATCAACAAGTAGTGGGTGGTTGTTTTTGAATGTTGTTTCTTTGCAAGGCAGGAGCTTCTCCACCATCTTTGTGATTGTCAGTACTCAGGTCAGCAGCTGGTTGATGGTCAAAGAATGCATTCTGGATAAGGCACAAAGAAGCTTCTTCACCTAGTAAGGCAGACCTGCCACAAATGTGAACACCAAGCAGCTGTAATTCATACTGCTGAACAGAAGTGATATTTTTTGTAATTCTGACTGATACACATCTGAAGACTTGCTGTGTCTCAGTTGCTTTGTGATAAATTGCTCATATGCCATGTAGAAAACAGTTTTTACTCTATGTTTACCTTCTCTTCATCAATTGCTGGTAGACAGCAAAAATCCCTTTATGATGCACATCCTGCAAACAAATTGCTTTTTCTATCCACTCAACCCTGACCAAATCAAGTGTTGATCTGTCAAATTCAGGGATCAGCTTTAGGTCAAACTTGCCATCCATTTTCACTGAAGCTGAAATAGCTTGTAATTGAAAATAATGGAGCAAGGTCACCAATGTTAAAAAAATTAATGGTTTCCAACACACACAAGCATTTGGAACAGCTCATCCAGGTATTCAACTCTAGTGGTTTATATAGGCAGCTGAGACACCCACTATTGGTCAGATAACAAATTTGCAATACCTGCCAATTTTTTAATCAACAAGCCAAAGACAAACACACACGGAGAGAACATCCGGTGAAAATGGAGAGACACACGGAGAGAACATCCGGTGAAAATGGAGAGACACACGGAGAGAACATCCGGTGAAAATGGAGAGACACACGGAGAGAACATCCGGTGAAAATGGAGAGACACACGGAGAGAACATCCGGCGAAAATGGAGAGACACACGGAGAGAACATCCGGCGAAAATGGAGAGACACACGGAGAGAACATCCGGTGAAAATGGAGAGACACACAGAGAGAACATCTGGCGAAAATGGAGAGACACACGGCTCAGATTTTTACTCCAGCAGACTATGCATGCAACATGTAAGCATTTTATCCAACAAGATGAAAGTGAATTTCATTGCTACATAATCACTGAGTAACCATTATGTCTTTCATATAAGTCATCTAAACACAACATCAAAAGATAAAGATAAGTTTTTTAAATGATGCTAAATATTAATTTTCAGTAATGCCAAATATCAAAATGATCTTGCCAAATACAATAAAAACTAAGGAGAAAGTTTATTTGTAAGTAAAACCAAGAAAAGAAGCCAAGTCTTTTGCAAAGATGAATAAAAAGAAGTCAGCTAAAGCTTTAATTGTAGATTTATGGTTTTAAAATTGGAAGAATATGTTTAAAATAGTATTTTCTTTTGTTTCTAGCAGATTTTAAATGAATTTACTTTCTAACATGTAATATTTTTTGAATTGTACCCTCAAAAGAAATTCCATATTATAAATAATTTTTCAGGTTTGCTTGTACAAATAATTTTAAAAAGATCTAATTAAAACATTGCAGATTCTTTTCAAATTGAGCCTTAAAAAAGAGATTTTCATTTACTGTTTAAGTCAGCCAGATCAAAAATTGACCAGCGAGATGAACAAAGCCTCAATTTCCACATTAACTTTTTCTTGACTAATGTTCACCCAATACAAGGCCCAAAGGGAACTCAAAGTAGAGGGTTACTGTGTGAAGTTTAATTAGATTAAGAAAGGGCAAGATAGCAGGGAAGATAGGCAGGTAATTCTAGACTTAAAGAGGTTAAGATTTAATTAGTAAATAAAATTTCAGGGTTCAAGTGGAGACATTAGGAGTATAGAGTTGAAGCAGACTTTAGAAGGAACTGAAAATCCAATGCTACTCAGGAAACATTAGATGAACCTCTACTCCTGTTCAAAAGACTGGGAGGAGTGTGAACTGGACAAAAGGCAAACTATGTACTCCTCCTCCTCCAATACAGCTGAGAGAGCGCTTGTCAATTTGAGTAGGTTAGGTTAAAATTTCATAATTATTTTGCAATTATTTTTGTTTGAATTTTCATGCCATTAATAAAAGTGTGAAAACTCAATTTTCAGGTAGGTTTTTCTCATTTGGATTTGTAAACTTTCTGATCATTTTCAGGCTCTTACCTGAATCGACAAAGTTAGTGACAACTTTTGGATAAAGTAATTTCTTTAAATTTTCATAAAAGAACTTGTAGAATTCCTCAGTATCTACTTTGCAAACATGCTCGGCAAAAGCAGCAAAGCAGCCTTTCTAGTCTTGGAGAATTTAGCATGATTCCAGAAATAAAAGTAAATTTTGGTGTTATTGTCAAGATTATTTCTTTTTTGTCTGTGAAAGTGACAACTTCAAACAAAGAGCAAAAGTTTAAAAAGTATTGAGGAAAAAAATAAATAAGACAATTTGCTAGAATATAGCTCACAACAAATTTTTATCACAGAGGAAAAAAAATAGCAACTAGTCTGTTGGGCAGTCAACACTGAAAATAGCAATACAAAATCCTGCAAACAGATGTTATCAACACCATAAGTCCTGGGAAGTAGAATAGAAAGGGAGAGTCACATAGTAAGATAAACCAAGTGTAGGAGTTGGGAAAAAAAAAAAAAAAAAAAAAAAAAAAACAGTCTGAGGAGGCCAGTTCTCATTTACCAACATTTCTTTTGAAGAGTTGAGAGAAGCTCGAGAAAATGGCTAATTTGCTTTTTTAAGTAGTTAATAAATGAAAACCAAACAGTTTGGCCATGATGATAAGTGAAGTAAAACTGCTGTTTAACATACAAGAGAATTTTCTTATCTAAAAATATCTTCACCTATTTAAGAAAGGAGAAAATTTAAACTGAAATACTACTCAAAATTTGCAGTTTTATCTCGGACAGACTTCTCCACAAATTTCATTCATTTTTTTATACATTTAAATAATTTATATCAATACTTCAAGCAAAGTCTTAGCACTCCATTACTGTGTTCTTGTGCCAGACTAAGTTAAATTACAATACTTCATGCAAAAATTATTCTAAATCAAACAATAAAAATGAAATTTATTTTAATTGAAACCAATGAAGTTTATATGCAGTTCTTGGTTTGAATATTTTTGGTTTTCTCTTACTTTATATTAGGAAGCGCTAAAATGTTCTTCACCCAACTCACTTCTCAAAATATGACCAAATGACCAGACTTTTTAGCATTCCCTTGTAAATTCACATTTAATGTTTAATAATTAAAAATTATGAGAAAACATTGAATGAAATACAAAAGAATTTATTCTTTTTATAATAGCATCCCAATTTTCCTTGTTTATTTTGTTGATGTGGAAACAATATTAAACTGATTTTATCACAAGACTTTTTGTAGTTATGCGATATATATTTTATCTTGAGACTGAACATAAACATTACACAAAGTTAGATTCAATATTTAAAACTCCACAAAACAAGACAAGAAGCCCAAGAAGTCAGTTATAAACTAGTGTTAGTTTGAACAAAATTTTAATGAACATTTTTTTTTTTTATAGAAGTCTCTTTTCTTTCTATATTTAATATGAGAATTGAATTAGATATTGATAAAACATACATACCCCTAACAACAATAAAATAAATATTCGTACAAATCAAAAAAAGAATGAAAATTTAGAAAGACAATCTAAGAATTCAACATGGAAGAAAGCATTTGAGATTACAAAAATAATTAAAAACTGAATATAATTTTTTCTCTCTCTCTTTCCTTAAAAGTTGATTTGTGTCTTAAAAATGATTATTAATTTTGAAAATTTTAAACCGAGCCAATTTGTAGTAGGAGTATTGCTATGGTAACAAAATGATTCAATCTCTTAACACAGCAAGAGATTTAAATAAAAAATGTTGGTCAGGAAAATAACAAGTTGTCTCCAAGGCATATTTTCTTGGATGTCTGAAAGAATTACTGATGACAAACTAGTTGTAGCTTTTTCACATACAAAACATAAAAAAAAAAATTTAAAAAAATAAACACTGACTATATTTTATTTGTCCACAAAAAAGACCCACAACAGCAATGAGAGTTCAATCCATACAAGCTTCTAGATTAGTAAAACCAATAATTTAACAATGAACACTAGGTTCAAAACTTTCATATGGCCAACAATTAACCCAATTCTAAAATGCTTAATAACAGATAATTAAAAGAAAGTACAAGACAGGTGTCTGGACAGATATTTGTTTTCCTAGTAAAGTAAAGCAGAGTAGGGAAAACAACAGCAGCAGCAGCAAAGTTGTCAGGTGACACAGTAAAATTCCAAACATAGCGAACTTCTCACTTGGACTCTCACTCTCTCTCAATGGCATTCATACCCACACCTTTAGGATCCAAGTTAACAATCCAACTCATGTTACTAAAAAGAATCAATTCCTCTCTTCCATTTCACCCCCACCCCCGCGATTGACCTGGTCAAAGAAACAAGAAAGGTCAGAACCTTTGTTGATTAATCATTTTCTCTCATTTCCTTTCATGTATTAATAAAAGCAAATAAACTAAACAAATTAATTTTTAAAAATATATAAAATAAAATGACTTGACTATTTTGATATATAATGCAATAAAAAAAAAAAAACTTAAAAAAATGTTACTGCATATCAAACTAATTATTTTCCAGAATGGGGAAGGTATACAAACTTTTTTTAAAGTTAGCAACAACCTCGCACAAATTTCGAGCCTGTTAAAGCAATAGTCAATTAATACATGAAAGGAAGTAAGAATGAATTGGATTAACATGAGCAGAGGGGGAGAGATGGGAGCATCTGCATACTGATTTTCTACCAAAAACATTGTCTTAATTCAGTTGTCTTTGTTGATGGAAGAAAAGTAAACAAATGGAAAGATTAACAATTCATCTTCAAAACTAAAAACAAAACTTTAATGTAAAATACATGGCTGAAATACAGAAATCAAAAGCAGTTGACTTCAAGTCATAAACAATGACATCTAAATAATCTATACTGTCAAACCTTTATAGAAGAACAATTCTATGGTAAAAAAGGTACAACACTTATGTCAGTGTTAGTATAGAATTTCTAAAAGAAACTGGAAAATTTCAAGATGATTTATGTTAGATGAGGAAAACAGAATTGAAAGCTTTCTTTAACTTTCCATATTCATAAATATTGGTTTATTAGAAACAACGACAAAATTAGAGAAATGAATTTAGAAAGGAAACAGAATCAAATTGTACATTTAATTTAAAAAAATAAAAATAAAGCACTCTATATGATAAGTAAAAATTAAAGTGCTGTCAGCAAGATTAAATCATTTATTAATGTCCACATAATATTCAACTTTGTCAATTTATCATTAACATGTTTTCTTAGTTGAAAAGTCCAACTTAAAAAGCAACAAGAAATCAAGGCTTGATTTTTGTTGCTTGATGTAAAATTTTTAAATTACTAAATTCTGATAAATTTCCAAGAATTGAACAACTGACGAGACAGAACAAAGCCAGTTTTCAATAGTTCATCTCAGTCTTACTCAGTGATTTGTTAAAGTAGTGTTAAATTAAACGTGATAAGTGACATCATCAATGTCAAATATCGGTAATTTATGTGCCTTGTGTGATGCACACTTAGGCGATCATGTATCTTTGATACATGACTGACGAGGCAGATTTTTCTACCTGCAGTAGGTTGCCATTTCTTTCTGCGGTAGACCAGTTGCCATCCAAGGCTATAGAACCCAGTCTGTCCTATTTTACCCATAGCTGGGGGAGGAGAAGAAAAGGATTCATACCTTTCCCAAGGGTATTAGCATGTAAGTGAATATAAGGGATTTGACTGGAATTTGAACTCAACTCTGATTCCTCAATCCGAGCCACTATCCATTACAACACTGTGCTTACCAAATATGTTTAATATACATGGATTTAATTATCATTTGTTTTTATTTTTAAAGTAATTAAATTCATTGTTGAAAAGAATTTCAAATTTCCATTGTTATAGTGGGGTAGTATG